AACTTGCAATGCATCATCCATTCCTCTCTGCACCAACATAGCACCTATTTCCTCTTTTCCTCTCATCCCCCAAACCCTAGCCTTAAAATAAACCAATGATACTAGCAAGGACTTAAAGATCAAGAGCCTATAACTTACTGACACTACTTGCTACATTGTTTTCTAAAAGTGTTTCTTCTACTAATTTCATCTCCAACGTATGATTTCCCTGGCTTATGAAAAATAAATTTTGTGACACCTACTGTCCAATGATGATTCAATTTACTTCTTTTATGAGTTGAGTGTCGAAAAAAGCTCCAGAGACTAAAGGATTATCATAATGTATGCAAAGAGGAAAACAAAGAAAAGAGAACAATAAGTCATAGATGCATTGCTAAATAGAAAAGGCACAAAGTTTTATATTGTGCCATCGATCCACACTGTTTATATCCTCAATCGAAGAGCATCGAGTTTGTTTACCCATACATAATATGTTGCTTGTAGTCATCAAAATAAGAATAATGATAAAAGTGTCAAAATGATCCCCTAATTCTTCGTAGAGTTTCATTTTAGTCCAAGAGTATACAAGTGTCAATTTAGCCCCTAGATTGTTTTAATTGAGGCTAAAATAGACATCCATATCTATTTAAACCCATATTAAAAGAGTCGCATAACTAATTTAGCACTTCTATAAAGTATGGGACTAGAATGAAACCAAATAAGTAGTCAGAGAACCATTTTGACACCTTGTTCCATTAATAATCCTCTATCTTGCAAAACACTTCTTTTAGCTCCTATACCTATAACTTACATCATTCCTTCTTAGATTGACTATAGCAAGTGTAATCCTAATTTGATTTCCAGACTCTGTTGCAAGACTTACGAGCACCATAGCACTTCATAATTTCAGCAATTTGGTGTACTAGGGGGGGCCCCATTTAAGGGAATACAAGACATGTAATCGGAGGTTCTTTGCTTCATTAAATTTTTGGTATTCTATCAATCTAAGATCACTGCTCGTTCGTTCCTTCAAATGTGATGTAAGTGTAGCTGCCAGATTCTGGAAGAAGTCAACTTGAATTTTCTTTGCAGTGTTAAATTATTATACTATTCCTTTTTCTGCTAAATATTTTGTTGATGATCAATGCAAATGAGCATGATTTTAGCAAAATTTATGGTAACTTGATTTCTTAAGATATCAATCTCAATCAAACTTATGGCCTTGCGGTTTCAATTTCTCGCCGAATTTATTAGATTATCATTTTGCACAAATTTTACACATTTTGTTGATTCTGAATATGTAATTAATTTTGGGCTTTGAGACTGCAAATTTCATTGCACACTGATAAAATTTACTAAGCACGCACCATGTCATCATACCTTTCGTATCAGAGCCCCAATGTTCAAGACCAAAATTCACGAAGTCCCTAAAAATATTTAACCGCTCTCCTGAACTGATATCCCAGTGCCTTTGTTCCTTAATTTCAGTAAATATCCAAGGCTGAAAAAAAATGCAATTAAAATAACCATAAAGCTCTAGAAACCTGACAAAAGAAACTAAACACAGAACAAACGAAGGTAGAGTTTACCAACCTTAATTAAAGCACCACGAGCAATCATGCAAGTAGAAAGTTCAGGACAATCAGCCATATGCTTATTGTAGTCACAATATGAAAAAATATCACCATTTCCAAGCACTTGGAGACCAGTTGGAGCTTTATTTGTGCACTGATATATATAATTCCAGTCAGCAAGCTTGCTATACCGTTGTTGTCTGGATCGACCATGTACAGTTATTGCGGTCGTTCCCCAATCATAAATATCTGAAATAAGGGAATCAATTCGATTTCTTCCTTCAAAAAAACCGGTTCGAACCTTAAATCAGACAAAAAAATTAAAAAGAAAAAAGACATAAGAATGCAGTCAAAAACATACATAGAGAAACTGGAAAGCAAGCTAAAAATAAAAAAGTAATTCTCTTTGAATTAAGAAAAATATGAGAAAAGTGTGAAAATAGCTGCCCTGACTTTTGCATAGTCATTTTAGCCCCAAAGTCTATAGAAGTGCAAAATTAGTCCCCTGACTTCTTTAATAGAAATGATCTTTAATCAAAAAGAAATGGGCATCCGTGGGGATCATTTCAGCCTAAATTAAAGGAATCTAAGGACTAATTTGACACTTCTACAGATTCTAAAATGAAAATAGCCTCAAATTAATAGTCAGCACAACTTCAGTACTTTACTCGGAAATATATGGTCACAACATTTTGGACAATTTCAAATTTGTAGGCTTATCAAGCTAGAGGAATCG